GGGGGGGCTATAGTGCAGTCTACTTAGCATCTGAAAATACATTTCCTCAAAGGTATTTTTAATCTGAAAAGGGCTTCACTGAGTAAGAGCTAGCTCAGCAGGCAGTTTAAGTTTCACTTTCAGTTTCACCCGTGAGCCTGCAGGAGTCATGGGCGGAGTGTGTGGGGAGAGGGGAGGAGGAGGAGGGGAGGCGGGGATGCGCCCTACCATGAGGAAGTTTGGCTTAAAGACATGTCCCAGAGGCGTTTCTGGTCCCCACCTGTCGTTTTGCTTCTCTGCATGACTTCCTAAAAACGCTGCAGGATTTCTCAAACAGACATGAATGAGTCAAAGCAAGGCTTTGGGCATGTTTTTTATGAGAGTATAACATTATAACATGATATAAAACTCAAAAAAGTTGATTTTACGTGATATTGCCCCTTTAAAAACCAAGATAAATGAGTCATGAAGGTTTGTATTGAAGATAAACTTAATAACCTAAATGAGCAGCAACCTCTGAATACCATAATAAATCTTCATCCACTTTGGCATTAGGGCCTAAAGCAGTGGAAGTTGCTCAACCCACTTGTGCCACATTGTCCCAATATCTGCCAGTTTATGTTTCCTGTCTGACTGCTCTTGTCTCTCAATTATCAAGTTAGATTACTCAGGAGAAAATATAAAGTCTTCAGAGACATAGTGGCATGAAATATTACCCTGCCTGTCTCTGCATGTGTAGATTATTTGTTGATTCATCCTTTGACTTGTAGGCCTCAGCCAGGATGAGGACCTCCAAATATGCAAAATTCATTTTATCCATTTCCTTCCAGTTCTCCCCAAAAACACACCTCCTTCAAGAATGATTTTTTGTTTGGAACTGGGCATGAGTAGCTCAAAGACTGACTTTATGTCTGTGACTCGAGTTACTGCCACCCTAGTAGGCCCGGGCACTGGATTTATTATATTTTCTTCACTCAGATTCCCTGTTGTTTAATTGAAGATGAAGACCACTGTATTTCACCATTTTTTGACATGACATTTTCAGACACATCTTCTATTTCACCCACATAATCAAAGAGAAGTTCCAGCCTTTCCAGGGTTATCATCTTTTTATTTCCGTGGCTCATTTTCTGAGCTCTGAAAGTAACTATATTACACATGTATTTGAGGTGTGTAATGTTTTTAGTACTCCCTTGCAGAGAATATTTATGCCCCCACCCC